ATGGGTACAAGACTTACATAACAAAATCTAAAGCAAATTTTAAAAATTATATACAGTGCATACCCCTTCAGTAGAGCAATTTTACCCTCGGGAGAAAAATTAAAAGGCTTAAGGGAAAAATTAAAAAATGAATAGAAGAGAAAGAGATGAGAATCAAGGCTAAAGGACAAGAGAAAATCAGTCAAGCTTTGGGAAACTGGTAAAGAAAACAGAAGAGAATGAAAGAAGAAAAAGACAAAAGGAACTAAATGTAACCAAAAAACTAAATTAAAAACAATGTTCAGGGCAGGGGATTTAGCTCAGTGGCATAAGCATCTGCCTGGTAAACGCAAGGTCATGAGTCTATAATTTCAAACCTGTGTTTGTCTTCTGAGGCCTACAGTTTTGTGGTAGTGTTCAGTTCAGGATCCCCACCATCTCTCCACCATACATCTCCACCATCTCTGGTATACAAAAGAGGCAGTTAAGATTTTTCTCAGCATTTGCTTAAGTTCTCATCCCTAACTTCCTCAAAAGCCCATTGTGCTTCTATTGTTGTTTGTTGTTGTGTTCTGTTTTTTGGGGGGAGAAGACACTGGAGGTTGAATCTAAGGTCTCACACATGCGAGGCAAGTGCTCTATCACTAAGCTACATCCTTATATCCTTGAAGTGTTTTGTTTTACAGTGCTGGGTGTTAAACCCAGGGTCTTGAGCTTGCTAGGTAAGTGCTGTGACATTGAGCTATGTCTCCCGCACTTTTTAAATGTTATTTCAAGATAGGTTCTCACTAAATTCTCCAGATTGGTTTCAAAGTTGCAATCCTTTTGCCTCAGCTTCCTCAATAGCTGGGATGTACAGGTTTGAAGCATAGCATCAGTCCTCTCGTAACTGTTTCTTCAGTTGTTCTCTGATGCTTTCCTCAAAGTCCTTACACTTTATGCCTGCTGCTGTGTTCCAGAGATAGTCTCATGTTTTAGGTTTTTATTATGGCAGTACTAGTTTCCAGGTATCCAAATCTACAGTAATTAATTATTACTGTATAACAATTTATCCCAGAGCTTAGTGAGTTTAAGAAATAAGCATTTATTATCTCATAAATTCAGTGGGTCAGGAATTTAGGAGTAGTTTAGCTAAGTGGCTCTGGCCCAAGGCCTTCAAGAGTCAAGATGTGGGCCATTGCAGAAGTCATCTCCAGGACTGAGCTCACTTTGTAACCCTGATCAAACATAGAGAAGGATTTAACTAAGAATTACAGGCCAATTTCCCTAATGAACATTGACATAAAAACCCTCAATAAGATATTGACAAACAGAATGCAGCAAATCATCAAGAAGACTGTACACCATGAACAGTGGGATTCAACCCAGGAATGCATGGATGGTTCAACATAATGTAAATCCATAAATGTAGTACACCATATTAACAGCCAAGGACAAACATCATATGATCATCTCAATAGATGCAGAAAAAGCTTCTAATAAAGTCGAGGATCCATTCATGATAAAAACTCTACAGAAAATTAGAATAGAGAGTCTTTTTCTCAGTCTGATAATAGCTGTGTATGACAAACCAACAGCCAGCATCATAATAAATGGACAAAAACTGAAAGCTTTCCCTCTAAAATCAGGAACAAGACAAGGAAATCTGCTGTCTCCATTGTTATTCAACATAGTTCTGGAAACTATAACTGGAGCAATTAGGCAAGAGAAAGAAATACAAGGAATAAAGATAGGAAAGGAAGAAGTTAAACTATCACTATTTGCAGATGACATGATACTCTACTTAGAAGACCCCAAAAACCCCACCAAAAGACTTCTAGAGTTAATAAGCAAATTCAGTAACATAACTGGATACAAAGTCATACCTTTTACAGTAACATCCAAAAAATGAAATACCTTAAAATTAATTAAAGGCGATAAAAGACTTCTACATTGAAAATTACAGTACTCCAGGGGCTAGGGATTTTAGCTCAGTGGTGTAAGCACTTGCCTGGCAAGTGCTAGGTTGTGAGTTTGATTCCCGGTACAAAAGAAAAAAAAACCTACAGTACTCTGGAAAAGGAGACTAAAGAGGATACTAGAAAATGGAGAGCTAGCTTATGCTCTTGGGCAGGAAGGACCAATATAGTAAAAGTAGCCATACTTCAAAAACGTTACACAGATTCAATGCAATCCAATCAAAATTCCAATAGCCCAACTCACAGAATTAGAGGAAACAATCCTAAAGGTCATCTGGAGCCAGAAGAGACCTAGAACAGCAAAGGCAATTCTGGGCAAGCCAGACAAGAAAGGGGCATCACAATCCTTGACTTGAAATTACACTATAAAGAAAAATTTTTTTTTACTATAAAAATTTTTTTAAAAACCCAAACCTGAAGATCAGTGGAACAGAGTAGAAGATGCAGAAACACTAAAACACCTTATCCTTGACAAAGGTGCCAAACACATTCACTGGAAGAAAGAGCCTCTTTAATCAACAGTGCTGGAAAAACTGGCTCTACACATGCTGAAGATTAGAACTGGACCCATATGTTTCACCATGCACTAAGCTAAAATCAGAATGGATCAGAGATCTTAATATTAAAGCAGAAACATTAAATCTTCTGGAAGATAGAGTAGATAAAACTCTTGAGGACATTGCACAGGAACTATCACAAAGAATCAACAACTGGGATCTCACCCTATTGCAAAGCTTTTGCACATCAAGGAAATCACCAATAGAGTAAAGAAACAACTTACAACATGGGAGAAAATACTTGCCAGCTGTTCCTCAGACAAAGAATTACTATCAAGAACATATAAAGAACTCAAAAAAAAGTCAGCCCTCTTGGATTTAAAGACCCAATCCAAAAATGGGCATCTGATAATGAATGCACACTTCTCAGATGGAGAAATACAAACAACAAACAAATATGTGAAAAAGTGTTTAGCATCATGGGTCATTTGAGGGATGCAAATTAAAGCAGCACTGAGATTCCACCTCACCCTAGAAAGAATAGTTACTATCAAGAAATTAAACCATAACAACTGCTTGAGAAGATGTGAGGAAAAAGGGGCTCTTCTCTAACTGTTGGTGGAAATGCAGACTAGTGCAAAAACTGTGGAAATCAGTGTGGAGATTCCTCAAAAAACTTAAGAGTTCCCATTCCCCTTCTGGTTATCTTCCCAAAAGAATTAAAAACATCATATCACAGTGATAATATATGCACCCATTTTATAGCAGTACGGTTTGTAATAGCTGGATCCTGGAAACAACCTAAATGCCCATCGACTAAGGGATGGATTTTAAAAAATTATTCAGCCATAAAGAATGATAAACTGATATAGGCAATTCTATTAGAGATAGCGGGAGGCATTATAGTAACCATTGTTGATCACCTTGTATTATGTTTTTACATTATCTATTATGTCCACCCTTTTGACTTGACTGATTCTGTTCTGTTATGTCACATTTGGTTTTACTCTCTTCCAAAAAAGTAATAAGAACCGTGGGAGCAATGAAACCCAAAATGTCTAATAGTCAGGTTACAAAAGAGAAGAAAAGAAAGTGCTCCAAACTATATAACTGCATGTATAAGATAGAAAATGATATCACAGAGTTTTATTGGATCAATGAACAGAACTGTTTGCAGTATCATTGATGGAATGTCCACTTTACAAGCTTTAATTTTGTGACTTGAACAATTATTTCTAAGATGACAATATGTAATCCATTAACTAGTGATTTCCTACTGTTCATTTTTTTTCTGTAAATCTGTATAACTTGTACCCTTTCCCTGCTTTTTTTTTCTTTTCTCCTTAAATAAAATTAAAAAAAAAAAAAGAATGATAAACTGGACACTTTCTAGTAAATGGATATAACTTGAGAACATACTAGTGAAATAAATAAGACACATTTGTAAGCAGTGTATTGTTTCATTATTGTGAGAAGCTGAAAGAAAAACATATATGTGTATGCATATGTACATAAAAAACAGTTAAGATTTACTACTGATTTTCTCTGAGTTTGCTGCAAAGAAAGATTTGTATTCGTATTGTTCAGACAATTGAAGGCAGATGTCTTGTGTTGTAGGTGAATGATTTAGGGATGACAATGAGCAATATATGTATCATTGTTCCCCCTGATTAATGTACTTTTAAAATTTCGTTGTAGTTTTTTTTTGTTCTTTTTTCTCTTTTCATCTATGAATAAAATGGATTTGAAAAACATAAAAATTAAAAAAATAGGCCTTATAATCACAACACAAAAAAATAATACCAGAGAGGAAATAATACACTAAACTATTGTTGAACTTTAGTAGCAGGGAAAGTCTAATACTGTTAGTTACATTGACCTAATAAAATAGAAACTAGGGAATTACAAGTGTATATTCAGATCACAGGCAATACAACAACCCAATATCTCTTTGAAAAGTAAAAAGACGTAGGGGCTGGAGGTTTAGCTCAGCAGCATAAGCGCCTGCCTTGGAAGCAGGCAGTCGTGAGTTCGATCCCCGGTACCGATAAAAAGGAAAAAGACAAAAAAAAAAAAAAAAAAAATAGACCCAACTCAAGGATAAAGAAATGGGTACACGGAACATCCTAAATGTTCAGAATGAGAAGTACAAAGCATATGTGTTTGTATGTGTGTTAAAGTCATCTGAAACACCATAAAATTATTCTCCTACTTATATTTTTTAAAAAGATCCTTTAAATGCTATACAAAAATGTAGTTCAGAATCCTACTGGTTCAGCATCCCTTGTATTGGTCAGTACTAGAGAACCGGGAAACCTAATTTGAAAAATGTCCTGTAGCATCAGGTTCCTTTCTAGCCTAATTCACAAAAATTTTGAATCTATACTATGGCAAAGCTCACATATAATGATAATAGCACAGTCTCACAGCACTAGGTAGTAGACTGATTTCTGTTGTTCTCTCTTGTGTAATAGTCAGTGGAAAGTCATTGTGGTTGGGAAGTAGTTGATGTCATGGATAGCTATACTTCTATTGTCTTACCTAATTTTCTTTTCTCCTCTAACAGAATAATACAACAGATCTTTGCAGGATTCTTTGCAAATTCTGCAATTCCTGGTTCCTCACATCCTTTTTCTTGGTAAGTTAACTAATTGCTACCTAGCTTATCCTGCTAGAGTAGCATCATTTTAGGTGTTATTTTCTGTGCTATAGAGAAAAAACTAGGTAGGTGAGTATGTGGCTATGACTGGAAGCTTATTAGATTACCGTTGTCTGTGGAGCTTGAACTTAATCAGAACTTTGTTTTTTATGGTTCAGGCTTTGGAGCACCCCGCCCTGCCCCTCATGGTCTGAATGTTGTATTGAGGCAGGGCGTGAGAAAGTACCTGCTAGGCTTGGCATGTAATTTGTGGGTTTCTCCTTTAGATCATACTGGAAGATTTTATTCCTTAAGCTTTTCTGATGTGGAGGGTTGGGGATGTGTAGCTCAGTGGTAGAGGGCTTGTCTAGTGTGTACAAGGCTCTGGGTTTGATTCCCAGCATGGCAAACGAACAATTTCTGAAGTTGAAAACAACACTCTTACCTTTCCTTTTCAGAAAAAGCAAAAGCCTGTAACTCGGTATCAGAGTGATGCATAAGTAGAGTAGGGTTTAAAGATGGAATTTCTTCTTGTATGGACAATTATTTGCTTCTTTTGAAGGGTTCTTTACTCAGAGGGACCTCAAGTCCTTCCCCATACTTCCCCCATTTCCCAGCCTTTATTTTGAACTAGAAACTGGACCTTAGTCATCCAGGGTACTGCACCAACAGCATCAAAATAAAAGATTGTGCCAGGTTCCCTTTCATAATTGCCCTGAGTTACGATTCAGAGAGACTGCTGTGGCTGCTTTTCTACTAGAAAGTTTCTCATTGTTCAGGACCACGGGTCAGCTTCTTGGAGTGAGGGAAGTCTGCTATAGAATTGGCCAGCCATGAAGGAAAAACTCTTCCTTAAAAAGCAGCTCCATTTATATAAGTGTGCAGAGAAAAGAAACTTTTGTTTATGAACAGGCAGCAAGTCACTTCCTCTTGTGTGTCATGTGGTTTATTTTAGATAACTTCACATTGTGTGTTCTGCTTGAAGTAAAATTCACAGAGAATGAGAAGCTATCTCTAAATAATGTTTGACCTTGAAAATATGATAAATTTTTTGCCTCTTGATTCTAGTGACTTTTGAGCTTCAAGAGAAAACAGGAAAAAAAAAAAAGAGAGAGAGAGAGAGAGAGAGAGAAAACAGGATCTCTCTGCCAGCTTTTTTGAAATATAAGTCAGAGACTGGTCACTCCATCTAATACTGCCTATCTCATCTCACATACAGGAGCGGGATGCTGCACTCCAACCCTGGGGACTATGCCTGGGGTCAGACAGGGCTTGATGCCATTGTAACCCAGGTGAGGAGCTACCTTTTGAGAATATCTGTTCAGTGTGTCTCATGTTTCCACAGGCTTCCTGCTTTCTTTCTGCTACTTTCTTGAAATTGCAGAGAATGTTTTGAGCTTTTGGGTTTCCATTTTACTAGTGGGACAAATGGTTTATGGATTTAATTTAGCATCCTTGTATTTACTATGTCCAAGGGAATTTCTAGAATGTGCTTCACCTCCAAAGAAAATAAAGACTTCTTAAGAAGCAGTATATGTATTATGGGCCTTTTGTTTAGTTCTGTGGGGATCCTGCAAATAAGTACTTTATAAAAAAAAGGAGAGTCTCACATGTTGAAGCAGGGATTTCTGCTAGATGGAGAAAAACAGGGGAAGGAAGCAGAGAAAAAGGTATTCCCATGGCATGTATAATTTCTACTTGCTTATGTGTATTTTAATTTGATTGGTTTTTCATTTCCCTTGTAGATTGCTGAGCACAGAAAGCATGCCATTTATGTCCAACTTTTCTTACAGGCAGTAATTTACTGTTTCTTAACTTAGCCTATGCTCCTCTCCATACTTCCACCATTTTCTTTCTCTGGCAGAAAGAAATTTTTGTACCAGTTCAGTATTACTTTTTAGTAATACTGTAAAGCTATAGTTTTATTCATGACATCACAACTCTTTACTTGAAATTGATTTATTCCCAAAGGTAGGTCTTACAAACATGGGTCTGTCTGTAGACTTAACACTAGTATCACTTTGAAATTGTAAAGGACTTTTAAATGTTCTAATAGCAGGAAAGGGAAAACCTAAGTCTCTCAGAGTTACAGAAGTAAGAACAGCTACCATTTCTAATATCTGCAGTGTTTACTCTCAGCCAGAGCAGCTTCCTCTCCAGGGATATTGAGATGTCTGCCATGTCTTTTTTCTTTTTCTTTTCTTGTAGCTTTTAGGACAACTGGAAAACACAGGACCTCCCCCAGCTGACAAGGAAAAAATCATTTCTCTTCCAACAGTGACAGTAACTCAGGAACAAGTTGGTAGGTTTATTTTCATATTTATTTTGTCATCTTATATCTGTTCAAAATTCTGGTACCTTCTTAATACTGAATATATTAAAATGAAGCTATAGATCTCTAAAATCTAAAATACCTACCTGGGTACCAGGTGTGGAAGATACTTGTCCCTCCGTGATAATAATCAACAAGTATTTCCTGAGCCATTATCAAGTCACTTTCCAGGTACCATTGGAAATACAGAGGTACAAAGATACATAAGAGTTGACTCTTAATTAGTTAAAGAGTTTATTAGTGGAAGCAATACTCACCAAATGACTTAAAATTTTTTTCTAACACCAAACATTTACTAGAAAAGAAGAAAGTTAGCAAATATCCTCATATCTTTCCTTAAGAAATTAGAAATAAAAGAGAATAAAACCAAAAACAAATGGAAGCAAGTAATAAAGATCAGAAAACACAATCCCTTATCAAAATGCCAACATCATTTTTCATAAAAATGAACATTTTGGTTCCTACAGTTCTGTGGAAATACAAAAGACTCAGAATAGTTTAAACAACTTCAATAAAGGAACAAAATTTTGCAATAATGTTGGACATGTGAAATTGACCTTGGGAGAGAAGAAGAGAATAAGTGAGGGGCTGGGAATATAGCATTGAAGAAATTTAATGGTAAGGGACAATATATAGGGCTGAGAGTTTTCATTTTCTGTTCAGGTTACTGTCAAAAGTTTAAAGGCAGTATGAGTTATCTTAGATCATTTTACTTAAGAAAAAGTATGAACTAATTTTTTTTAGAGGCAACAGGGTTTCCCGATATAGTTCAGGTTGGCCTGCAACTCACTATGTAGTTCAGGTTGGCCTTGAGTTTACATTGATCCTCCTGTTCGGCCTCCATAGTGCTGGGATTATAAGTGTATGTTACTACATTTGGCCCTAATATGAACTAATGTAAAAATATCAGCATAAATATGATGTTTAAGTCAGATATAGGCGAATGACCTTGTTAGACCTGAAATAGAATATGATTTGGAGAATATTGAAATGTATAAGTAGATAGAAAGGGTGGGACTCTGTTGATAAGTTAGGGCTGAATGTTCTAGGTAGTAGAAGTTTTGCATGTCTTCAAATGAAGAATGAGGGAAGGCTCTTTAAGAGGATTACTCTGGAGTAGTATATAAGATAGAGCAGATGTGAGACAGCAGAGCAAGGGTTTAAAGAGGCTGTTGGAGCAGTCTGGTTGTGGTTCCAGTAATGATGGCAGTATTCACAAAAAGAAAAGGGTTGATCTAGAAGTTAATTTTGAAGAAAGGCTTTTTATCACAAATTGCATGTTAGGATGAAGGAGAGGAAAAAATGAAGATAATTGTAAGATTTCACAACTTTATAACAAAAGGTAGTGCTACTGTCATAGGGGACAGAGATAAGTGAGTAGGCCGCGGTTTGGGTAAGGCAGTGATATGATGGTTTTAATTTTGAATTTGTTAATTTTGAAGAGCTAGCTGAGACTCCAAGTAGAGATGAGCTGAAAAGGTGGCATCAGGGAAAAGTAGCCGATAGCAAAGTGTTAGATGTATATATGGAGGGTTAAAGCTCTGGAATTAGAAATACAGCCCAGTAGGCTCTTCAGGTAGACTTGGCATGAAAAGTAAAATTGAAGTTAGGGTGAAGTTGCTGAAATGGAAAGGATAGAGTGAATTTATCAAGTGGTAGTCCTGGTCCAAATACCTTGGCCACTTTGGGAGCATGGAACATATCCACCTCAGTAGAGATGTAGACTAACTGGTACTTTTTTTTAATCCCAAGTGTGTATATGTATATGTACGTATGGTACCGAGAATGAACTCATGACCTCGCACTTGCCAGGCAGGCGCTGCATCACTGACCTGTGTCCTGGCCCTACCTGGTTTTTGTTTATGCCAAACTTGGAAAACTCAGGTCTTGCTGCTTGGAAGTCCCGGTGTAGTTTGTTACCATTTCTTCTAAAGAAAGACATTCTGTCTTTATTTGAAGGCCTTAACTATACTTGGCCTCCACAATGCTGTAGCACCATCTCCTAGTAGAGCTTTTAACACCTTCTACAGAAGACTTTAGGACAGCGATGCTCAAAGAGGATGCATGATATGTAAAGGAACCCCTGAAAAAGTTGCTTGAGATGTGGACTGGAAGCAGCCTGAGATTGCTGAGATGTGTGCCTTTGTTGTAGTTCACAGATTGCCACTGTTTCCTACGCAGACTGATGTAAGCTGCCATGCCATATGGGAAGATGTTTCTCTTGTTTACTTAACAGATAATCTAACCCTCAGTGTCTTCCTTTCAGCATTTTACATTAGAAAGTATGCTGTTATAAGGTTCTTATCTAGACCTTATTGGAGTAGGCCTTGTTTCTCATTTCTGTTTTTCATGTCCCTGTTATTACTTCTACTCCTATTTTGAAGTAAAAATCCATGCTTATCTGCCTCTCACTTGGATGCAAGTGTTTTGTCTTTTGTCATTATATATTCCTTAGACTGTTAGAGATATTCAGTTTTATTGTCCTTCATTTTGCTTGTTTACTTTAAAAGGCATTTGTTCCTTCAATAGATATGGGTTTAGAATGTCCAGTATGTAAAGAAGATTACACAGTTGAAGAGGAAGTCCGGCAGTTACCCTGCAATCACTTCTTTCACAGCAGTTGTATTGTCCCATGGTTAGAACTGGTGAGTATAAGCCAGCTGTATATGTGGTGAAGCAGCTTTACAAGTCACATCTTCAGGGGTTGGGGAGATGATTCAGAGTAAAAATGTAGCTAACAGTTCATACACAGCAAAACAGATTAGGTTTATAGTCTCAAATCCCTGGCAGATTCCCACTGCTACCATCACTTTTTTATTATATTAGTATCTCTTTAGAAATTCTCTGACCAGGGGTTAGCAGCCAGAGCCCAGAGGCTACAGTGGCCTGCCATCTGTTTTTGTAAATCAAATTTATGCTCATTTGTTTATAAACTGTATGTGGATATTTTTGTGTTACACAGGCAGAGTTGAGTAGTTGCAACAGAGTTGGTGTAATCTCCAAACTTAAAATATTTACTTCCTGTCCTTTTAAAGAAAAAATCTGTTTGCTTCTCTTGACCACATGGAAAGGGGGTAGGCAGTTAACTACCTGTCATATCTCAGATTGCTGTTTCTAGTTGGTTTTGTTTGGTAGTATGTATTAGTTGTCAGTGTGCCTGGAGTTGTGTCTGTTCTGCTTAATTCTGTTTGGAGCCCAATGTGTGCTATGTAGCAATGCATTGTCAAATCATAGGGTTTTTTTGTTTGTTTGGGTTTTTTTGTAGCAGAAACTGAACTCAGGGCTTTGTGCTTGCCAGGCAGGCGCTTATGCCACTGAGGTATATTCGCAACCCAAGTCATAGTTTTTGATTTGCTAATTTCTAGTTTCTTAATATGTTCAGTACCACTAGATTCTCAGGTCAAGAGTGTTCACATGGATCTCTTTCTGTTTCAGCACGACACATGTCCTGTCTGTAGAAAGAGCTTAAATGGTGAGGACTCTACTCAGCAAACCCAGAGCTCTGGGGCTTCTGCAAGCAACAGATATGACAGCCAGCTACATGACCGATGGACTTTCTAAAACTAAAGACCAAGCCCGAACCAGGGCTATTGGAGATAGTCTTAACATAGATGTACATTGTATCAAAAACAAAAAAAATAGTAGATGGATTTAGGAATCACATAAGAAACCCCAACCCACCCATAATACTAATGCAATGAGTGTTTTTGTTCTCTAAATTTAAAGTTAGTATCTACAAAAGGAATTCTATTTCAGTCAAATTCCTCTGATTTCTGAATTCAGAGTGATAATTTTATAAGTGTGAAATTTAAGTGCAGTATGTGAATTTTCCCCTGTCTGAATAAAATGAATTTCTTGAAGTCTAGATAGGGTCCTGCTATATGTCATGTTGCCTGTAATGGATGTGTCCACCTCTTCCAATATCTGTCTCATCATTAGTGTGTTTTGCAGTAAATGCAGGGGAACCAGAGCACTAAAATCCTGATGATATAAAGTAATTTTGTCTTAATTGTGTGAAAGTATCTACTTTTGTCCACATAAACAATGAAGTAATGTCTGCCTAATTCAGGAATCTGAGATTGATGGACTTAGTTTTGTGTTAGTGTCATAGAATAAATCAAAGAAAAATTACAGTAGGAAGGAACAAGTGGCCTGTCGTCACACACTTTGGTGTGTACTTTCTCCAGAAACCAGTAAAGCATGTCTTGGGAATCTTATGTTGGGAGAATTTTAATTCTGATTCCTTTTTGGAAATGATTTGGGTAACTAGACAAAGAAAGACAGATATGTAACATCTTTAATTCTGAGATTTTTAAAATGATGCCCCGCTCATTGTCCACTATCTTTTGTTCTAGCAACCTTAAAATAATTTCCTATAATAATAATAGGTTCACTGGGCTGGAGATATAGATCAGCAGCATAAGTGCCTGCCTAGCCAAGTGCAAGGTCCTGAGTTCAATTTCCAGTACCCTTCCAAAGTGATTACTTCATTAATACTTCTACAACCAATTCACTGGTTTTGGTAATTCATTATTCATTAAGAATTCAAATTTTGGGGCTGGGGCTTTAGCTCAGCGGCATAAGCACCTGCCTTGCAAGCAGGCGGTCGTGAGTTCAGTTCCCAGTACCAATTTAAAAAAAAAGAATTCAAATTTTATATTGTTTTAATTTCTGAAGTTCATTTTTCCTTGACACTTTTCTGATCTATCTTGTTTTGCTTATACTTGTAGTCAGACCGATTAAAATAATCTTGCCCAGAACAAGTAGGCCCGAAACAGGTAGACCTGAAATAGGTAGGCCTTTTTAAGCCAAACAGTGTTCCATATACATGTTCTTTTGAGGTTTAAATTTGAATAAATGAAGAATTTTAAGAATGTTGTTGGAACTTCAGAGTCTCAAAAGGTTACACTAGAGTCATATAATAGCAGTTGGTGTACTAAAAAGTGTGTCAAAAAGGCATACAAAGTAGCAAGATATGTATGGTCATACTAGCCCTTCATAATTTAGGGAAGGTCACTATTCTTTGTAAGTCTTTCCTGGCTAAAAATCTTTCCTTGGTTTTTGTTGACTATCACACACTGATTTGGGGCTGAGGAAAGGGGGTTTAAGGTAACTTTGTCTTTACTTTGATAGAGGATAAAAGAATTGAGGATGGAAAAGAAAAAGTTGGAGTGGCTTGCTAACCTAATAGCTTGCCTCTAAAAGTTGTTAACTAGAAGCTTTGATTCAGATTGATCCCAGGGGGAATAAAAGATATTTCCTTGTTTACCTCGTGTACCCAGGCTCTACAGGAATTGCTTCTTTGGGGGGTGATCTGTTTGTCATAGATAGCTCTGAGAGTACACATTGGTTTTGAATTGGGAATGAAGAGGGATGGGAGGATGTCAGAGTTACATTATATTTGACCGCTACTTGGATGGAAGAAAGCTGTGTTGAATTGGACATTTTAGTTTTCATATAGAGTATAATGCAGTTATCAGCTGTCAAAATTTTTGACACCTTCCAGATACAATAATTTAAAAAAGAGAAACTTTCGACACTTTGGAAATTTTATCTGTCTGTTAGTATCTAGAGATGTCAGGTCAGGTCAGGCCGTTGTGTTTTTAGATACATCTAGAGAAATAGGAAGTTTTACAATAAAACAGTGGTAGACAGAGATCTGCCCTTTTAATATACAATATATCAAGCAGCATCAGACTAAATTATCTGGGGTTTTTTTCACTGTTTATTTTTTTTAGAAAAAAAGATAACGTCATAAGGCTTATCTTCCTGTTTCCCAGACTTGTCCCATTTAATGAATTTGTAGTATGTTTCCTCATAATGGGAAGCACCTCAGACTTCCAAGTTAATTTATGTTAAGGACTAAGAGGTTTTTTATATAAATATGATATATATGTAGATATAGAAAGAGATTTATTATAAAGATTTGACTCTTGTAATTATGAGATGAGAAGTCCCAAGATCTACACCAGGTCAGCTAGAGATCCAGGAGAGCAATTAGTATTGTTCCAGTCCAAGTCTTTTGGGGGTGGGGGGAGTCTCTTTGTAACAGGGCCTCCCTGTACAGTTCAGGCTGGCCTTGAGCTCACTTTGTAGCCCAGGCTGATCTCAAACTTGGAATAGTCCTCCTACCTCAGCCTTCTAAGTCCTGGAATTACAGGCATGCACCAACACACCTGGCTCCAATCCAACCAACTCTTAAGGCCTGAGCACTGTACAGTCAGTGGTTTTAAGTTCTAACTTGAAAGTCAGTGGGCTTGAACATCAAGGAGGGCTGATATTTCAGTTCCTGATCCAAAACACAGGCTGATGACCTGGCTTAAGTACTGAGGCAGGAAGAGTTCCCTCTTGAAAGAAGTAGTCATTTTGTTTTTTTGTTTTGTTTTTTTTTTACCTTTTGTTCTCTTCAGGATTACTTGGACTGATTAGATAAGGGCTTACCTCTGTATGTTAAATACAGCAATCTGCTCTTCCATGTTTGTACTCAGATATTGATGTCATTCCAGAACACCCCCTCAGATGCAGCCAAAATAATATTTGACCAAATAACCTGAGCATCCTGCAGCCTATTTAAGGTGTCATGGAAAATTAACTGCCATAAGGAGGAAAAATGGAAATGATGCATATAGTAGCATTCATCTCACTTGAGTTTTGCTATATGAGGAGTCTACCTTGGCTTAGAGGCCTGGTGGTGTGTATATAGGATGTGTATAATTTCTCTTTTTCCTCATTAATTAAGATTAATCTGAAAGTATGAAATGCCTCCCATTCTAGGAATGGATGTTTTACATTTATTTATCCAACACCAGAATGTGGCTGCGATTATGACTTTATTTCCCAGCTGGGTGCAACGGTGCATGCCTATAGTTTCAGTACTTTGGGAAGCTGAGGCAGGATGATTGCAAATTCCAGTTGCATTTGGGCAACTTAGTAAGATTGTCTCAATATAAAAGGAGGTGGATATGTGGCTTATGCAAAAGCCCTGAGTTCAATCCCTAGTATAGGAGTAGAATTGAGGTAGGGTTAGGGGTTTATTATTTCTTGGTATGTCTTACCCTTAAATATTTTAGCTTAGATACAGTGACCACAGCAGCAGGCTAGATAACCTGGGCTTTTTGGGTGTCCATTCTTCTAGGCTAGAAGACTTACATACTTAGGAATCTGGTAGGGGTCAAGGGAGTGATTACTACACCAGCTATTTTGGTCTGCTTTCCCTGACTGTCAAAGAGGAGAAAACTGTTGTGATTTTAGATCAAGTCCTTAGTATGAAATTGAGACCTTTATATTTACACTAAATAGCCTACTCTTTAAATTCCGTCCAGCGCTTAACACATGGTTTTCTTATTCTGAGTGTCTTTTACCCATTATAATTTCTCTTATACATATATATGGAGTAAATAGATATTTCTTTATGTTACAATATGAAATGAAGAAAATCTATTTCACACATAATTAGGGAAGATTTCCTAGAGGCTGATAGTCTTAGAAGTTGAGAGATTATAATGGTTAATCTCTTGTTGACCTCCAGTGATTGTTGTGTCACAGGTAATTTCCAGATAGGTTAATCTCACCTTTTTTAATATGTGGTACTTTGCTGGACAGAAGGGTAATTGGGAAAAGCAGAGAGGTGAACATTTAGCTCCTACATCTTTAAAGTTTCAGAACTAATAGATTGGAAGAAAGGATGTTATGACATTAGAAATTAATATATCGGGCTGTGGATTTAGCTCAGTGGCATAAGCGCCTGCTTTGCAAGGCATTCGTGAGTTCGATCCCAGGTACCGATTAAAAAAAAAAATTTCATATATCCTGCCGGGGGTGGTTGTACACACCTGTTAATCCCCCAATGTGCAGGAGACTGAGGCAAGAAATGTGCCACAAATTTGAGGCCAGCCTGCACTACATATTGAGACCCTATCTCAAAAAACAAATTAATATTTTCTCAGAATTCCTGTTGCCAGTTCCTAGGAGTTAAAAAATATGGAGACTCCAGAATGACATATTATCCCTGTTGCTGTATAACTTTTTGACTATTTTCTTATAATGTTTTAATTTATAGCAAAAAGTAATTAAGGGCTGGAGATTTAGCTCAGTGGCATAAGCAGCTACCTGGCAATCACATGATTGTGAATTTGATCCCCACTACAAAAAAAAAGTATCTTAGAAATGTGTTATTCTTAGCATTCTAGAGTTATCTGTGCATGTAGAAATGGCTATTAAATAGATCCCATAACTTATCAATATCTGTTGCATAACTGGGCAGCTGTTTTCTTTGAGCAGTATTATGGTCCTATAGTCAGTTCTCAGGTTAGAAGGATGATTTTTGGGAAACAACTTGTTTTTTAGCCCTAGCAAGTGTCACTTTGATTAAATGGTTATTAGAAGAAAAATGCCTTGTTTGTTCTAGTATATTGCGTTATATATACACACATATATATATATATTGTTATATAACATGTATATATTGTTTGCATTTCTGTATATGTATATAATGTATATATTTGCAGACACAGTATATATACACTTCACCTTGAAGGAAGGAGAAATGATAATGATAATGCTAAGGAAAAGTGAGCAATGGTACAGAAGAGAATTACAGCCTCACAGTATGCTTCTCTCATTTCCATACCACCAGGCCCTGATTCGTATAAGTTCTCTTCTATAGGACACATTGGTTTGAGCAGGTACTTTGTTATCTAGTCTATAGCAGAGCTTCACTAGAAGTAAATACCTAGTCATTTCCAAGAGTTGAGAATAAATGACTTTAAGAAAATGATATTTATTACCCATTGCTCCTGTATTACAGAGTCAGTTGAACTCAAGTATAGTTACCTTGGTTCTTAAGTTTTTATTTATTTTAGTTGCTGCTAAGGATTGAACCCAGGGCTTGACACATACTAATTATACCACTGAGCTGCATCCCTAACTGTAAAAAATTTCTTGATAAATTCTTGATGCCAAATTGAATATCTTGTGACCATGCCTCAGTTTTTTCCTGGCTTGGGAGCT